AAAACCTTCTTCCTGACAAAGTTTCAGAAAATCGAATTTTTCTATCCTGCATAGGTATAGGTGACCGTTACAGCAAGCTGCTCTTAAGGAATGTTGGTTTACGATCGCAACGTCCTGAAATTTGTATGCGTATGTTATCTAGTAAGTATCACGAGTATTGTATTGTATACACATTCAGCATTATTCATATTCTCCATTGCTTTATTTACAATAACTGCAGAAATTCTCGCGCCCTCATTGGCTAATTTCCATTATCACATAGCCTTGAGAAGAGCGCGTTCTGATTGGCTAATACAGCCCATCCATTTGCCTGTGGGATGCAGTTGACGTCAGTCTGTTTATTTCGATGTTGCCACTTTTAAAAACATAATTCCTAATTTTTCTTCTCCTGAAATATGGAAAAATTTGACCATTTTTTAAAGAGATTTGCTAATTTAAGCGAGCAGGAGCTGAATCAGCTGATTGAACAAAAGACACTTGGAGAAGACCAAAAAGACAACAAACCGGTTTGTATCAACCTTTCGAGGTTAGTAATGCATAGTGGCAATTTAAGAGAGAATTTGGAAACAATAAAATTCAGTACAAGCTTTCACTGGAAAACTTTTCTAGCGTCGAAAGCCATATTAGATGCTTTCGGCGAGCAAAACTTGTACATGAAAGCGATTTGGCAAAACTTGTACATGAAAGCGATTTGGCAACAATAAAATTCAGCACAAGCTTTCATTGTAAAACTTGTCTGGCGTCGAGAGCCATATTAAATGCTTTCGGCAAGCAAAACTTGTACATGAAAGTGCTCTTAAATACAAAATCCTTCTGTTCCAAAAACATTAAAGATAATAGTTTTACTGAGCTTGGTAGCCTCTGATGAATTATTCCAGTCGGCCGGGTTTCAGTTTTGCTCGATCGCAAATTGAACAATTGAAGGAACAACCGCTTGAAGGAGCGACTGCATCGTGCACAAATATAAGCTTACGTCTCTAACATTTTCCTTTAAGCCTCAGTTTTCTGTTCATTTAAGCTTATTTTACCAAATAACGAAAGTAACAGAGATCATTTTTTAAAACCATTGGACGTGTTCATTTTCAGTGTTTAACGACGAACTTATCATTTTAAAACGAAGTGGAAAGGAAAGCATAACCCACAAACCTGTTAATGAAGAAGAGCATCTCAAACAGCTCAAAGGCAGAGATGTTTGTTTGCTTTCGTCCCCACTCTCACTTTTAAGAAATTTCTGGTTCCATATTGTTCTTTTCTTTTGCCGAAGAGGCCGTGAAGGACAGAGAGCGCAGCCACCAAAAGCTTCAACCATGCAGGAAAATGTCTTCAATTCGTAGGAAAACCGATCCAAATTAAACTAACTTTTGAGAAACGCTTTTAACGACAGCAATTTTCATTTGTTGTCATCTTGATATTTAGGCTAACTTAGCAGTTTGAAGTTGTTTGTTTGTCCGAGATCAAGAAAACATAAACTAACTCACCCCGATCCCAGAAAAATATTGATGGGTCGCTTTGTCAGATTTTTGAATGAACATTTTCGCGCGGTTGATCATACTTTTGACTTCATGTAAGCAGGATGGTATTCAGTAAATACTTCCATCTGGGAGAAAGATCTTAAAAGTCTCAATGTTATAAAAAAATGTCTGGTTTTCACGCTAAGTCCACCCTGTCTCAGCTTAGTTGGACCTTTGGCAAAAGTTAGGAATTCGTTTCCGTCGTCGTCGCGCTGTTAAG